ACTGAGAGGTATCCACTGGACAGGCATGGTGGTCACCATGGTGAGTTATGCCAGTAATCTTTTAGTCTACTTGCCAGTACTTGTCAGTAGCTTTCAGAACTTGCAGTAAAAAAGATTGTGGTACAAGTTATCAATACTCTCATTTGGATAATTTTATCCACAGCTGGGTCTAGTGTTGGTGGGCATCTCCAGCGTGTTCAATGAAGAGGACAATGATAAAAAAGATGTGAAGAAGTCCATCTTAGGTGAGCAATGTTTACTCCCACTATGTACATATGATGTTGTTACATCCAACAATAGTACTACTTAGCTTGTCATCAGACTATAGGGTGCAACCTATGTTATTTTAGTCATCATCAAATGTGGTGACAATCATACATGTCGTGGAATGGCCAAGTAGCAAGGCTTGCAAATTTAAGGATGATATCCCTTCTGTAGTTTCAAATGTGTCAGAAAATATATCTTGTGCAATGGACAAAATTTTCATGCTACGTTGAACCAAGATCCAATAGAAACCATGGTTTTGTACAAGTGCAGTATGTTCTGTACAATCTGTACTCTTCTTAGATAGCGTAGCAAGAAGAGTAAACTGTGATTTGCCTCCTTCAGGTATTGTGCTGATTCTGGCTGGACAGGTGGTCAGTTCCAGTCAGATGATCATCGAGGAATTATTCCTTAAGAAGAGGAAGTTTCCACCCTTACAGGTGAGTACCTTAACTACTGGACCATTCCATTTAAATGGTTTTAGGGGGAGGGTGTGCTCCCAAATCAACATGAGATTGATCACAAGGGAGAATGGTAAAACCCTGCGTGTACCAATACAAACCTGCAAGAATTTCATAGCCCTGGACTGCCACCTAGCAGGATTAGTGTAAACTGCAGAATGACTACTAATATGGAGCATGTACTGTAAATTGTGAAAACTATTGCAGTGGTTTTATAATTGCATGCTTTGCATTGAACTCTCACCACAAACCCGTGAAACTGTACTACAGTAAATCAATGTAACGTTTTTACAGCCTTTTCCCTCCTAGTGCAAGACTACAGTCCTCTCAATAAAGACTACAGTTCCCACAATCTGAAGACAATGACAGTAAACTAAGTATACAATGCCAATAATTTGTCGTTCTCTTTCCCTAGGTTGTTGGCATGGAGGGAACTTTTGGGGTCTTCTTCATGGTAGCAGTAAGTAACAAGATCTTTCTACTAAATGCTCATTAATCAATGTTAAAAAACACACAAAGAAAAACTTCCTATGTATGTTACTGAGCAATTAAAAATTATACATGTAAGATATTTATCCTTTTGAGCTCTTATTGTACTGTTTGTTCCCCCTCCCTAGCTGGTTCTTCCTGTCCTGTACTTCATTCCCGGTGACCAACCAGGAGGCAGGTATGAGAACAGCATAGATGCCCTGTACCAGATCTACAACTCACCCAGCCTACTGGTTTTCTGTTGTAAGTTCCCATTGGTCCAACTACAAAACGACTTCATTATTCACTGTTGTAGATGTCATTCATAATATCTTGTTAGATTTGGTAATTTGGATATGTTGTACTGCCCTCATTTTCCAATTTTGGCAATGCTGATACAGGTTTTTAAACAAATGTCAAAAACAACTGTTTCTTCTGCCCTACAGTGTTGTATTTGTTGTCCATTGCCTTCTATAACTACTTTGGGCTGGCTGTAACCAAGTCATTGACAGGTGAGTTTGTTTATTATATCATTTTAGTACAATTTGGCTGTCACCATGGTAACTGGTGCTGTAGCAGCAGACACCCTTTGGCGTTAGGTTACATTAAATAGCAAGTGGCAGGACAGTTGGAGGGGTCACCATATACTGTATACACATGTGTTTGAGTAAACAGAGCAGTAGTTTTTTTTAGACTTGACCATGTGGAGGTAAACATTATATACATTTGCTTAACCTTTATATCTATTTTCTTTTCTACTCTATCCCCCAGCGGTACACAGAACCCTGATCGATGCCTGCAGGACCATCATGGTGTGGCTGGTGTCCCTCTTCATCCACTACGCCGTCTCTAAGGTAAAACATGGTTTTTGATTCTTAATGAGGAGTAGGCACAGCCATATTAGGCAGAAATGACAAATGTCACATTTATTTTATTTCTGAATTGAACTGGTTGTGGTTGCAGTGCAAAGGGCCATTTTTTTCTTTCAAACAGATATTTTCTCTTTTTTCTTCTCCATTTTTCTCCTAGAAAATGTTTGAAGTAGTCTGTAGATTATTTCCTACATTGTATATTGTTGTGAACTGTGATGTTAAAAAAATCCCAACATTTAAACACGAGACATTGCATATTTTATGCACTGCATAATCTACAGGAGAAGCGATACTTCAAAAATAGATTATTCTCTGGCTCATGTTTCCCACTTACTGTTCATAACTGTACTTAATGCCATAAATTTACTTAGATTTCTTGGCATGGTGAAAATCATCAGTTTGCAGCATCTTTGTAGAGTTTGTGACTGAAACAACGGAAGACAAAGCACATGTTTGCAGTGTGATGAGGCTATAGCCAAAACCTTGAACATAAAAAAAAACACTGCTAAAAGTATCCAAACTTACGGTATCTCTACCTGATGCCTGGCACGTACCGGGCTAATAGGACTCATTAGTGAGCCGGGCTGTTGAGCCGTGGTGGGACCACTTAGACCATTACTCAGTAGAACATGAGAGCTGTGTTTTCAGCCTGATACATGTGGAGTGAGGGGATGACTGCTGTGCTATCCCTCTCCCCTGGGACTAGGGCCTACTCTACCTGCTGCACTAATTGCCCCTTCTGAGACTATCATTCAGGAATAGACTGGAAGAGTGATTGTGTCTCAGTGACTTTTAGGAGGCACAGAAAGCTTCTGCTGGCTGGATCGAATTCACGCAGGTTGGGTTGAAGAAACGGATTGATTATTACTCTGGAGACAAATAAAGATATGCCTTGTTTGTAGGATGTTCCTAAAAAAAATGAGTAAAAAAAGACATGCCCGTATGAAATGCTTGTTTTAGTGACATTGCCTTTGTACTTAAAGGCCTCTTTATACTTACTCCCAAATCAGCAGGAGTCAACTAGAACTGGCAAAATCGTGCCACCTTCAGAAAACCCTAGATATACCCCTTGACACTAGAGGCAGAATGCTACCAGAATAAGAACTCTTTTTGAATTGCTTGCTTTTTGAGGTGCATTTTGAAAATTTGTGTTGTATTCCAAACATTTGGGCCCATTTCGTAATTTTCATTTCGACAGCATTCCGGCTCATTCCGTATGCATCTAGTTTGAAGGTTAGAATAAATCCCACAATGTGATAAAGTTAGGGTTAATGGCTCCTAAAAGTTTTGGGTACTTGCCCTGTAGGGTTATAAGTGTGGTACCATTTTTATTTTCACTGCAAGTAATGGTGACACTGAAGATTGTGTGTTATTCTGGCAGGATTTCGGGGAACCGTGGGATAACACATGGGGCATCTTACAAGGTCAGTATCCCTGGTGATGATACATTGAAGCTGTGAACTTGTATTAGCTACAACAAAGTCAAAATCAGAACGTAGAGTTTGTCTGGTGCAGGTAATTTTGAATGTTTGCATGTAGAAAACGTATTCCAAACCCTGAAAATGTATGTATTCTATCTGCAAATGAGATGCGAAGTAAAACAAGGTGATGGCAGGTGCAGCAAATAGAAAGTCGGTGAATTATTTGTTCACAGTAATGATAGATTTGCAGTACAGAAGTGACCGCGAAAGCCACGAATATAAAAGTGATGCGAATATAAAGTCATTTACAGTACAATAGAGATTGTCAATGTGACATTTTGTCCTACAGTTGACGGGTTCTTCTTCCTGATGATTGGCACGGCCCTGTATAACGAGCTCATCAGCTTCCCCTGGATCCCCTGCCTGCGTCCCCTGCCCCCGAGGAGGCCGGCCCCACCCCCCAGGCCGCCTCCATACAGGGGACACCGGACGTCAGCGAGAGGACCCCCCTACTCAGTGGGGACACGTAAACATGGCTGGATCACAAACACACTCTCTGTTTGATGCCAGCAACTTTCTTAAGACTTTTTGCCTCAAATTAGGAATGATGTCTATGTGAGTAGACTCTTTAGGTCTTTCCTGAGAAGCCACCACATTTGAGCCATGTCTGTACAGTTGCCATCATTTTCTTGATCCTTTGATTCTTGTTTCTTTTCCTCTGTTCTTGTGTAAATGTCATAATTTCTTTCTTTAACAACAGACAGTGTGTTATAATGTAAAGCTGGGTTCTGCCATTTTTCTGTCTGTCTGTGTGTGTTCATGTACGTATTCATGCACAGCCTTATTGTTTCATTTTTGTGCCGTGGCTTCCTAGTTTTTGTGCAGGGCTCTTTTGTGATAATACCACAAAGTAAGCAATTGGCCCCAAATGACTAGTACTTTTGTGGAATGTAAGATATTGTTATACTAGTAGTAGTAGTGGGTATTGGGAGTGGAGATTTTTTGCTACCTCCTGACTGCTTAAAGGGGTTGCCCTTGTGTTTATTGTGTTTTGCTGACAATGCTGTGTACGGGTAATTGGATTGTTCTAGTAAATTGTGAACTGCACTGCCATTCTGTACGTAGTCCTATTCTTGCCTGTGGTGTCAGTCAACATGCTGACAACTTGTCCACTGCTCATGTCATCTGTCTCTGGTAATGTGAGTTTGTATCTGCACGGACTCTCTCTCTTCAGCTTTCTGGGACCAGCAAAGTTGTTTCCATAAATGGTGTTAGCTTTCATGGATTATATCTCATTAAGATGCTCAAAGACACAATCCTGAAGACCAAAAGACCAAAGACAAATATATACTAGTACTCCCTCAAATACAGAAATATGTATTGTCATCAGATAATGTACACAGAATCATGAATTGGAGGTTCTTATGAGACATCACTTGAGATGCATACTGATAACGCCAGAATCTTACAGGTCAAAGTACTTTAGCCTTTTCTACATACATAAACATACAAGTGTGAAATCCAATTGTACTTTGTGTTCACTCTAGCATTACTGGTGACTGTACTTTACAATACATTGTCTTCAATTTTTGTGTGGATGTTATGAAGTTGCTTGGCTTAGTCAGCTAAACTAAACTAAGCAGCAACGAGGTAGCACATGTCTGCCTCCAAACATCTGCTTGGAGATCAATACTGGTCCTTTCCAATTGCCTTTGAACCTTGCTGTGAGCAAAATACTACAGACATATGCCATGTCATTTGGCAATGATGTCCCGATTTTTTACCCCTAATTAATACCATGCATTCATGACCATGAATCAAATTTACAGTCGAGCATTACAAATACATGTATATCACAAGATGTTTCAATGCATACATAATGTACAATAGGCCTATGGCATCAAACTCATGCATTTCTATACATTTCAATGGGTGCTCAATGGGAAAGCATCAGATAACTTTCGAGACGAGATTGCCATGGACAACAAGTAGCAGGTGCGATGGAACAAATGGGAGCATTTTCTGGTGTGTCACACTGTCATTACCAGTAATGCATTACGGAATTACCTACGTCCATCAGCACTATTCATTACGTGTTGGAACAGTAGCAGTCGCTCGTGTAGGCAATTTGCATCAGGAGCAGTGGATTATTGACAAATATACAGATATTGGGAAATTTTGATATACATCGTGTATACAAAACAAATGATACATTATGTAATGCCATAGAACAACAGGCTAGAATTGTCATCCTTCAATTGATAGATCTGATTTAGACCAGGTGGTCTCTGAAACCTTGGCATATTGCTTCATGATGCAAATACATGTACAAGTCTTCTTTGAAACGTTTCCATTTGGCACAATCTAGATGAATAAAAACCTTACTTGTTGTATGGAGACCCACCCAACAGCAGACGTTTTGCTCATAGCAGTATCATTGCCTTAGAAAGCAGTTCTTAGTGTTCAAGTGAAAAGTCAAATCCTTATAGTAAGTAATACTCATTTTGGCACACAAACATTGTTGAACACCCAATGTTGATAGTATACCTACATTTAGGTTGAGGAAAACATTTGCTTTCAAATGTACTCTGGTTTGCCTTATTGTTTGGCTCATTTTGGAATTTTGAAACACTTCATAAACATGAGAAAACTCCCACCACAAACAATTGCTTACTATACATAATAAAGTAAGATATCACAGACCAGCTTCTTGTGTAAAACAGTTACTGTCATGTATCAACGTTTTAGTCTCATGTGGATGCTTAGACAAATAAAACAAAACAATAAAAAATGTACAGTATATATGAAGGATTAAACTAATACACACAACATAACAGATACATTAGGATAGCTTTCATACCCTCATGTTAAAGGTCACACATGAAATAAGAATAAATAAAGCAGATAATAAAGTATTTGTACATAGAGAAGAAAGTAGAATTTGGAGATGTACTAAGATGGTATCACATCGGCGTTGTGGTTCTCACAGCGGAGTTCCGAACGGTTCTCTGCCAGGCTCCTGCTGCCCCTGTTGGCGGAGGTTCACGGGTTCCATCTCCACCATGGGCTCGGCCGTCACCAGCCGCTCCACGTACACGTCAGCCTTCTCGTACGCTGGCTGCTCGATCTGGATGTTGAACGGGTCCCGTCCGCAGAACAACAGGAGAACCAGGCTCTTGCGGAACTGCGAAAGTACAGAATGTTTACGTCGATGAAGGTCAGACGTCCAGGTAATAAGATACTGAAGTAACAGCTACTCATTTAACTGGACAGGTTGGATGTCAGACATTTTAGGTAGACTACCATTTGTCAGAGAGGTGATTCTCTCTCTGACGATAGGACCCGAAAGTCTACTAACCCTATTTTGAATACCGGGTAATCTCTGTGGTAATTATTTTAGGAGCTAATTACACATTGATATTACGCATAAAATTTTAGAATCACTACTTTGTATGTTGATAGGATGATTATAATTGCAGTTTTTTTCTAGGCTTGTTTGACACGCATTATCTGTAGTTAGCTGGGCTCAGTCGACAGTTTATCTGTCCTTGGTGCTGATTTGATATCCAGGGGATGTTATGAACTACACTCACACACAAAGACGTGTTTCGTTTAACATGAACATGGATTGCATGGATTTTAATATCACGGTTAGTACATATGCATCTCTATCCGAAGAAAGCTCACAAATCTAACCTCCTTGTCCATGACTACATAGATGATGGTGTTGACGATGTAGCTTGTCTTGGCGAACTTGGTGGCCAGGACCTCTATGGTAGGGGACACGTGTCCTCCGGCGGCGATGACGAGCGCCATGCAGGCGTAGGGCAGCCAGGCCACCAGCCAGCACCCCGCCATCACCAGGGTGATTCTCGTGGTCTTACGCCCGGCCTGCACCTCAGTTGGGACCTCGTCTTCAACTTCGGCAGCCTGGAAATATGGGACAGCTATTACCCTGGTGTTCAGTCAATCGTGGTTGGGGCGGGTTTTCTTCGGGGCTGCAGGAGCTCTTCCCCGCCCAACTCAGCTAGGTTTCCCCAGTAGGTTTTTCACGATGGAAGATTGATTAGCCCCACCACAATCGCGGGGAAGAGCCCATGCAGCTCCGAAGAAAACCAGCCCCAACCACGATTGACTGGACACCAGGCTAGACAGCTATGGGCACTCTTTACGTAGCACAGGAAGGTTTATCTCAAAAGTCATAGGTGTTTTTTTGGTTGAACTCATGTTGTAGAAATAAAAATTACAACTTTGACCGTGGGTTAGATTAGAACAAACAGGATCCATCAGAAAGTTACCCGTCGTAGATGCATGGTTGTCTTGGCGACGCTGAAGATGATGACACCTAGCGGTAGGAACAGGCAGGACAGGAAAGCCACCGGGATGTACGACTTACTCAGGGGGGTGTGGTGATCCCAGTCCAGGGAACACACCGTCATGGCTGCCACCTGTTAATGGGCATTGGTTAGCAGAATGTTTTAGAGACAATTCGTAGTGGCGACAATTGACATAAGAATGTTATCAAAACTAGCGTAAAAAGTTCAGTTGTCTTTCGCACGATACTAGAGAAAAATAAAGGTTAAACTAGTTTCAAACGCAAGGTTTGGACCGAAATTTCCATCAGGTCACTGGTGTTTTCCGAAAGTGTGACATGAACAACCTTCATTGACCCGGGACGGGGGCTGCTACCAACTACATACCACTTTTGACCCTTTATTTGGCAGTCACGGGGGGTCCTCGGTTACTGAATAAGACCAGAGAACTGGTGACTCAAATCTTTGCAACACTTGTTCGAAACTAGTTTTTACCTTTTTCATATTAAATGTATCTCAGAGTGTATATCTCGTCATGCAACAGTCTTACTTTTATGGTTAAAGTTAAAACTTTTGGTCCAACAAAAAAAATTCTCTCACCTAGTGAAGCTTGTCATGTGGCTTCTTTGAGTTTTGACGTCACACCTCAAAGAAGCCACTTGACAAGCTTCACTGGGTCAGTCTGGTCGAAAGCTCTAGGTGAGAGAATTTTTTTGTGTTGGACCAAAAGTTTTAACTTTAAACATGTAACTACCAACACAGATGAACTTTCATGATAGTCTTACTTTTAGTTTACGTTTACGTTTCTGTTCTGAAGTATCAAAGAACTCTTACATGTGTGAACCGGCTCCAGCCCAACACGGGCATGATGGTCCAGAAGAACGAGTAGCACCACGCCAGGGCATTCACCGCGCATGCGCCGAACACGGTCTCCAGACTCTGAGCGGACTGCGGTCTGATGATGAGCCAGTATCGCGAGAACGACATGGCCGACATGGTCACGATAGACACGATACCTGTGGGGCATAGATGGAGTTTTCTTTACCACTCTCACCTTTCCTCAACTCTTCTTTCCTCTTCTTCACTCTTACTTCTTTCCTCTTCTTCACTCTTACGTACCCTTCCTCAACTCTTCCCCCTCTGCTATAGATGATGCATATATGGACTTTTTACACTTTCAAAGTACGGATTGTCAATGTACCAGTACCGTTCCTGAATCGAATCCCAAAGGCTGCAATTCCTTTCACAAAGGTAAAAAAAAAACTATAGCACTAGAAACATAAAAAAAGTGTCTGGGCGTGGAAACCATCTATGACGAGAGATCCTCTTACATACTGCGCATGCTTACTGTTTCTGTCATCATTGGAGGTTATTCATTCATTATTGAATGAAAATGAGATTAACTAAATGGTTGGATTAAAGGTGGTGACTGATCGTTTTTGTTCTCTGAATGAATGAATGAATGAATGAATGAATGAATGAAAGAAAATGATTAAACAGGGAGGAGAGCAGAAAGAATGTAGCATTTGACGTAAAGAGTAGTAGATGAATGAATGGATCGGAGGACAGAACGCTGTACATAGCTGGAGAATTTCCGAATTCCAAACGACCGACAGTGCTCCCATAGCAGCAAATAGGTAGGCGGGCCGCGTCACGATAGCTAGCAACTGTCTTTTGCAGATGGCATTTTCCCCTGACATCTGCAATTCAGGCATGCCAGTAGTTCAATAGATAGCATCAAAACCCGAGGCTTTTGTGCGTTTATAACCTTTGCAAGGCAAATGCACAATGTTTACCTTCTTACATGGTCTGTTCTGTTAATTCTTACTCAAACACATTCATATATATGGTCGGTAAACATAAAAAAACTGTCCATATGATAGCCAACAGTCCCTGAAATTTGCCTCGCACTTAAGACAGAAAGGATCATCTGGGCCAGTCAAGCTGAAAATACAGTCAGGTTACTTATGTAATGTCATTAGTAGTGTCCTATTGACGTATATTGCCAGGCTTTCCAGAATCATCAGTCTAAATCGTTCACAATAAGCCGAAATGTGGAACAGAAACTGTGCTTTTGCACAGGCGCAGTAAGTACTGTGGACAGATATGACAGAAACGACGTTGATTTTTACATGTGCGTGATCTTTGTATGTATCACTTAATGATCTAAAGATACGAGTAAAGAACTACTATATTTTGCATACTTCATAATCGCAGTAGTATAGACTGATAATTTTACCTGACAGTTCGTTCGTTCATCGGCTTATATGATAAAACATCTCGACTCTTGACTCCGGAGCACATTATGTAAAGGATATACATGTAGCCAAACATGTAAAGGATAAATTTGTTGAAGAATCTGCTTATTTAGAACATCGAGGTTTCTAACACTGTCTTCCCCTTGTGAATATTGTACAGTCCCTAATAGCCAACGTCTACACCAGATTATTTGTCAGAAAGCCCGAAGGGGCTCAACAGGCTTTCGTAAAATTATCCCTCACACTGAATTAAACTGACGGAAAATCGATAATTTTCTGAGAAATTCCCCGCTTCTGTGTGTGGCATGAGTATGTTACGTAATGCTTAAAGTAGTCACGCTTTTCTATGTGTTGGGTTCTATTTTAGTTGAATTTTATTATTTTTGGTGACACGGCACCGTCGACATGGGTTCCAATTCAGCCAAGCTGCAAATAAAAGTTCCACCTTTTCAGTGACTGCAGTCAAGTCTAGGTAATGCACATGCTTGGGTTAGCCGTGTGGAGATGGCCAATGTCCGAAAACTTCAGGCAAATTCATCAAAATATCTGATACATGCCCGTAGCCAGGATTTTGAATGGGGGGGTTCTTCCCACTGCTAGAGGGGACCTCGAGCGCCGTAGACGCGAGGCGAGCGCCGAAGGCGCGAGGTTCTTAGGGGGGTCCGGGGGCATGCTCCCCCGGAAATTTTGAAAAATGAACCTTCTAAAATGGCATTTCGTGCGTTTTTGAGAGGATTTTCAAGAAAAATCAGAGATAAATTTTATTCAATGACAAAGGGAGCAGTTTTTCTACGATTCCAGTCCATCTTTTCAAGAAAAATCTTGGACCTTTACATAAAAAGTGGACCAAAAAG